AGGCATGGGACGGAGCTGTGGCTTGTCTGGGAGGTGCAGGGAGGTGGGGCAGCTTCTGCTGCTGCTCTCACTCTTCATTTGGGAGGGCACGGGGGGTACCCAGATCTGCATGGGGCAAGCTGGGTGGACTGGGGCCCCGTGCCCTCCCAGATAAGTGATAGGAACTGTTCTCCCCCCCAGCACTCCCTGGACAGGCTGCAGCTCCATCCTGTGCCCGCTCTGGCCCAGCTGCACAGCACCTACCCCAGCCCCACTCCCTCCCTCACAGTGGGCAGCGTTGATCAGCCCCCCCACACCCCTTCCCTCCCACCTCCCCTTCCACCACACCAGATTTACCAGCTGGATGGTAAGTCTCCACACTGCCAGGCTGTGCTCCTCACTGCCCGTGTGCTGTGCTGCAGCTGTATGTACACATGGGCATTTATTGGCCAAATTATCAGCCACTTCAGGCCAATTTCTGATATAGTCAATTTTCTTTATATCAGTGCCAATCTAATATCAGACTGATATATTGGTGCACCTCTACTTTCAGAGCAGGGACAGTCCCTATATACTTGGATAGTGTTCAGGGCAACAGGGTCTGGAGAAGTAACAGCTGAACTAGGGGAAAGTCATATGACTATTTCATTTTCCCTTTCTCTAGATTTGTCCAAGCTATACAGTTTAAGGAACACTGCTCAGGTTTAAGGCAATTTTCCAAGGTAACAAGGGTTTCACTCTGTTTGTATTCCCTGGGATTACCTACTTGTGAAACAAGAGCATCATCCTTTTGAGTGACTGTCTACACAAGGAAAAATATTAATGCACAGTAAGTTAGGGTGTAAATTAACTATATACTAGCTACCCAAAACTAACACCCTCATACGGACATTCCTAGGATGCAAAGTGTGAGGTAACCTACCCCATTTTGAAAGTGCACAGAGGCACTCTATATGCAACTTAGAGTGCTTAATAAAGAAATTCATGTGAAGTAGGCATATGGTGAACTGAATTAAGTAGAAGAGTTTAAAGTAGCAGAGGAAAAGAAGGGACATTCATTTCCAGGAAGGCAGATAAGAACACCTCCATGGCTGCCTTAATGGCTTTCACAGTGAGTGGGTAAAACTAGCAAAGGAGTTGAGAGGCTTAATGCTAAACGGATTTAAAACCTAGTTTATCAATCACAGTTAAGGAATGGACTTTGGATTTCTGTTACAGACAGAACTATGCAATTCCTTCCAATCTTACACTCTATCTAGGAAGCTCTTTTACATTCCTCAATGGCAATATAGGGTTTTGTCTTGTCTGGGGTTTTTCGGGCTTTTTGGAGGAAAAGGTGCTTTGATAGGAAGAGTGAAGGGATTTATCTTGGGCAAAGTAGGTTTTTCTAAGTGGAATCCACCTTCCCATCAAGAAAGGACCATTTTCAGTTGCTAAAGAGAACTTAGTAATTTCTTTGATTTTTCAAAGGAAAGCACATTTATTTGGTAGTGATATCCTCAAGTAATTCATACCTGCCAGTCTTTGATTAACAAATGTGACAGCTAGTCTGAATAATACTGTATTGAAAAGGGGCAAGATTTATGGACCTAATGGGGGGGGGGAGGGGAAATCGCCCATTCTTTTTGATATAGAGATCTTAACAGTAAACTAAGTTACACTCAGCATATATTAACTTATGGAGACAACATATGATTCAGCATCTTATCTAGTAAAACAGGAACTCAGTATCACCAGAACAGTTTCTTAATGGGAGTAGTGGAATATGTTTGATAGCTACAATTTATTTTTAATTTCTTTTATTTTTGGGGAGGGGTAAAAAAAGTCTGGATGATTTTTAATAGCTCATCAAAATGCAAGTGGTTGTTTTTCTACTTTTAGAGGTAATATCAGAGTTAAATAGGTTTGAAGGTATAGAAACATACAGATACACTAGCTCAAAATACCACCAAGCTGATCAGTGACAAATGCCTTAATATAGTCTATCAGTAAAAAGCTGGAAACATTTAAGCAAGTGCCAGCAGTTCCAGTTTTCTTACCTTCTCATTTTTGCGCAAAGTTTTACACTTTATATATACTTAGCAGCAATAAACATTAGTTTTGTAAGCGTTTATTCTATTTGATGCAAAGAGTGTAAACCAGGGGTGCTCAATCTCTGGCCTGCGAGACCATGTCATCCAGCCTGTGGGTCTCCGCACAGGTCCAAAAATTTGGAGACAGGAAGCAGTGGCAGAATTAATTGCAGCTCTTCTGTTGCCAAATTTCTGGACATAGCGACCCCTGTGAACTGGACCTCGATCAGGCCAGCACATGGCTGGATCTGGTATGCAGAACTGGGTTGGTATGCAGCTAGCTCTGGTACACAGGATCATACCAATCCTGTGAATTGGCCCCACACCGCTCATCTGGCCTGCAGGGCCAGAAGGCTGAGCACCACTGGTGACTATTCTCTGACTGGGCATAAGATTTGATAATGTCCTACAGGGAATAATATTGTAAATTGTCCTTGCTACAGGTCCAATCCAAAACCTACTGTAGTCAATGGAAAGTCATTCATTGACTTGGAAAAGGACTGGATCAAGCCTTAGATGAGATACGTTATACTTATTATTAAGTCACCTGCTTACCAATTTCAGGTCTGGGACACAGTTGAGAACTCCTATCTTAGAGTATGCCAGAGTTCAATCAGAGGGGGCAGATTGTAGGAACAAGAAAGAACAAACTAAAGAAAGAAAATCCAGAAAAACTCAGATCTCACTCAAGTTTATCAGGGAAGAACAACTGGTCATTCAAATGTTCCTAAGTGGAGAGGAAAACATCAGAAATATGTGGGTATGGGGAGGGTGGCAGGGAAGGAGAGCGGAAACAGGAGGAGTGTAGGTGGAAGGGTTGTAAGCATTAAATTAAATGGCATCGCAAAGGAAACTTTTAAAGATCTCTGGATGCCATTATTTCAGTAAGGAAAAATAAGAGTTCAGCATTTTGAACAAGTGAGAGAAATCAGACTGAGGATACATTATAAAAAGAAATTCCCCACTACCACAGGAAATTCTCATAATAGGGATCCAATCTTTCAGAAATCTGTCTTTTCCCTGGGAATAGTTCTCTGGTAAGGAAAGAAAGGATGAACTTTCCCACAAGAGAGACATGCAGTAGGTACTTAGGTGGGTTCTAACAAAGCATTTTGCTTGGTTTTAATCAGTGTTGTAATGGCCTGCATTTTTTTTAAATCTGAAAAAACATGTCATAAAATACTAGTATAACAACAAGCTGTTGCAATGAGGAAGCAGAATGACTACCAAAGTGGAGAACACGATTTAACTGCTAAACCAGCCAAATAAAGGGAAACGGTATTTGGCAAACCCAAACTGAGTTGACGTGTGCTTGCTTGAAATGGTACTAGATACAAAATAAGAGCAAACAAATCCTATGGAATTGGCCCAGAAGCTTTGTCATGCTGGATATGCACCCAGGATGCCAATGACAAAATGAAGAGTTGGCATACCTAGTAAAATCATTGAATGTAATATGTGGTATTAGAGAGATCCCACTGGAAGAGGATGATATATAGTTAGTGATGTCTGAAACAAACAACTGTTTGTCCAGCATCTAGCAAAATGAGGTCCTGATTCTGTCTTGGAACAGTATTGAAAATGCAGGCAATAAAACAACAACAACGATAAATGTAATGTACCACATGCAGCTGAAGAAAAAGCCAGGTTGATCAACAGTCACTGGAGCTACCTGGGGAAAAGGCTGAAGGACAAAATGAGAGCTTGCAGAGATGCCACAGAGGAGGCATGCAACAGAAGCTAGGGTTTCTCAGCTGACTAGATGAATATAAGCATGAAGATGTACATCCCTGCCAGATTGCAACAAGGTACTCAAACATCACAGTGCTAAGCACAGTAGAACTCTCCAAGCTAGACTAGGCAGATAGACCCAATGGTCTCACTAGTTGTATTTTGGCATAGTACGAGTGAAGTCATTTGTACCATGTCTAATTTGGAGAAAGGATGATCACCTATAGGTATAGAGCACCTTCAGCTGGAGCTATGGGTGCTCAGTCTCTCTCAAAAATCAGGCCTAATCTGCTTAAATTTATCATTGTCAAATCTCTCAACATTTTTCTTAAAACAACAAGGGCTATGGATTGGGTGAAGGATACAGACTGCTGAAAATATGCAGTGAAAGGCAACTCACTTCCATCCTCATAGGAGGAAGAACCTAAAGAACAATAGGTGAATAGAGATTACAGCTTGATTGTGGAACCAGCAGCATGGGCACAATGGCACAAACCCAATAAAGTACAAGGCAGCTAGCACAGGCTGGTAGGAGTATGGGAAAGGCTTACAGACCAAAAGTAGGAGATGGGTGGCAGGTAGTCACAGGGAAATACAAAATATTGGCTAATAGTACAACATTTATAATGTAAATCAAGTCTGATATCTAGAAGCAGCACTTGCAAGAATATTTGTATCAGAGTGTCTCCTCAGATAGTACAGATAAGGGCACAGAGTGATTGTTGACAGGCAAAACAACTTTTTTGGAAATTACTTTACTGCTATGCATGATACCTTTACCTCTGCACTCAGTAGCCCAAATGCCCACTGGTGTGAACTGGTCCAGAAGTCAATGGACCTCTGACCATTTATACCAGCAGAGAATCTAAGACATGTAGCTCAGTGTTTTCTATCCACAGTTATTCCAGGCTGAAGACAGATATTTCAAAGAAGAGAGCAAAAAATAGAATCCACCTCTGTTGGAGCTCAGAGGTAGAAGGGGTGACCCGCAATCAGAAAACTGTGGATAAAGACCTGAGTGAGAAAGTAGTTAGGGATAAGCAAGCAAAAGAGTTTAGAAAAGCAAAAGGTGAGAGAGCAACAAGCAAGAGTGGTGAGAAGAGCCAGTGGAGGTGAGAAGAGTGAGCAAAGGGTATCAGGGAAGCAAAGAAAGGAATCCGGGGAAGAAACTCCTAATAGTGACTAAGGCAACAATTTAGCTGAACATGATATTTCAAAAGCTATTTAAATGCGAAACAGTACTCACTGCATCTCGCCTAGCAAATTCATCTTCTCCACGGTACTGGGGCCACCCTGCTCCCCCAGGCTGGCCATGCCCTGCTCTGCCTGAGGGCACCTCCACTGGTTGAGCTCCGATTCTGCTAGCAATTCCCACCTGAGTGAGGTGCTGTATCTGAGAACCTTAAAAGCAAATATTGGGTTTTTTCACCTTTATACACAGTTAAGTTTGCAGGGCAGACAAATTGACAATACACAGTTTTTTGGAAGGAACGGAGGCAGGTGGAAAGAGGAGCTCAGCATCTATTGAACTCACTTATCAGGGTCATCAGGTAGGAGACTAGGAATGTATTGTAGGCAGGTTATTTGCTGCTGGCATAGCTCATTCAGTTTGGTGCTTTTTATTCCCCTTCTTTTCACCGATGGAAAATACCTCATGACTCTGGTATCCCATGCATTAAGTGCACTGCATCCCACAAGTGAGAGTCATTAAAACAAAATCTAAAGGAAGCCCTTAATTTTTCATAATGGCTATCTGGCAGCAAAGAAAAACATTTGCTATAATGGCACATCTAAGCTGCATCACCTCAGCAGGACTCTAACTGCAAGTTGTTCTGTGTCCCATCCCTCAGAGTAACAGAACGTATGGCTACACGTTTATTTTTTTCCAGCATTGCTTTGGGATTAAATATTAAACAGCACTGCCATTGACCAATGGGAAGGTCACTGCATACGATACTTGCTTTATTAACTTGGTCTGGAAGCTTCCTGTCACCCTCATCCTCCCCACTACTCTGGTATTCAGGAGAAAGCAATCACAATCATCAAATGAGACATTTGGCAACTTGACAGCTCCCCCTTCCCTCCTGCCCCTTCGCCCCCCAAATTTCCTCCTTTGAGAGGACAAAGGTTTTCTGTAAATATGTCAGGAGTAAACTAATCTTTAAATGGCCCTAGACACCTTTTGGAAAACTCTGAGAAACATGAGCTGCTTTTACTTCGTAACTGAGTCCAAATGTATACGCACGCCTGTGTGCGTGTACGCGCATGCAAGACATTGGCAAGCTGCCTAATTTACATGCAAAATTCATGTTACTATTTTTCCTCAAAAGCATATGTGAAAATTATAGCTACTTGTACTTTCTTAGTTGAGGAATAGGAACTGGTCATTTGAATTCATCATTTAGGACATGATATAAACATGGAAAAAAAACATTAAGAGCACACCCACCACCTTCACCTGCACAATTATAGGCAGAGAACAACTACAGGACAAATTTAGAACCATCTCAACTATGATGTGAATATATTTAATTTAGAAACCACAGGGCGGGGGGCACCATGTTTTAGCATTTTTGTTTTCTGGAGGTAAGTTAATTGTCAGATTTACATGAGAACAGAATTTCAGAGGAAGACTCTCACTCTCTCTCTCCCACTCACTTCATCCCTATGTAAAATTAGAATACTGTGTAAATATTACTGATGGCTGCTGTGGAAGTCATAGCACAGTCAGAGAAAATGATTTCATGGTGGAAGCAAAAATACATGAAATCTCCAGCTACTAAAAGATCCTGTTTCTATGTTAAAGTTTCACGTAATAAGAAAGATGTAGGATCAATTGGCAAAATTGATTCTGAGCAGAATGTTTCTTCAGACTCTTCTAGAAGACAGGAGTTCATATTTAATTTTACACAAAAATGACACACCACTTCGTAATGAAAACAGCATTCACTGAACTCTCCTTTGGATACTGCAGTTATTTCCTACTCTCAGGTTGACTTCACACAAGAAAAATGTGTATGTGTTTGTATGCATTTCCCATAGGATAAAAAGTACATGTAATCCCACTATAAAACCCCGATAAAGGTAAACCCCCTGTAGTTTTGACTACAAGGTCCTCTGTTCCTACTCACCCACCGACCAGTGCATACTGTTAACATTGCCTAACTGCTTCTTAGCATCTTCTTTTGAAAAAGGTGTAATATTTAATTTCAGCACATGTTCAGTAATCCCCAAAGTACCTGCAGTGCTTCCAACTGGCCGTGGTCGTGCCACTGATGGTGTTTCTTCAGAGTATACCCCTCTGGCAGAATACTGAGCATCAGACTGTTGGTGGTCTGGGTGCATTAACTCTGAAGACTGAAGGAAGCCTGGGCCAAAATTTTGTCTGCTGGCAAAACAAGAACATAAGATTACATGGACTGAACTTTCAAGCATAAAAAAAAATCATGTATGCTGTCCCTTGCACTTAACATTACTATGATCACTCTGATGCATGGCTTTATCTTAACTGTTGCAAAACGAACCACACTTTACTCATATAACAGCCTTTCATAACATGCCCTTCACAAAAACAGACTCACAAGGATTGCAATACAAGAGTTTTGCACAAGTGTTTTCTTCTTATATTGGGGCTGCTTCAAAACTCTTAAAGAATCAGAAATATAGACTGTAAAACTCACCACCAGCTAAACTTCATTTGCTTATATTAGATATCTATTTGGTCCAAAACTCCAGGGCAGCTGATTCTCAACCAGGGGACCATGGCACCTTGGGGTACCTTAAGATCCTTTCGAGGGTGCCACAGAGTGCCACACAATGTTAGCACTGTTAGGTATGCAAACACAATTCACAAGATAAAACCAGAGATTTCAAATAGGATTCTATAGTGTTTAAAACATTCTGACTTGTGGTCTTTCTGAGTTCTTTTCAACAGAAGAATTGCTCTAGTATTTTTCTGCAGTCAAAATATAAGTGAATAGTAAGAGCTTGTATTTTCTGAAGCGTGCCTCAAGTTAAAGTGGTTGAGAACCACTGCTTTGTGGGCAAGCATTCCTGGGTTTAGGACTTGTCGTTAAATCAATCAATCAGAAGAAACTACAAAATGTTGCTTGCATTTCACGAAGTCCAAGGTCTTTTATGGGATCTCTACTGTCTGGCACGTCTTTGTTTTGTTGTGCTCTGGAAATCTGTGACTATTTAAGACATATCATATAAAGTTGTGTCACAGACAGTTGACCCGAGCAGGGTGCGGGGCCCGGGGCAAATCAGCCCATGCGGGGCCCTGCCTCTGCCCCGATCCCATGTGCCCTAGACCCAAAGAAGCTGCCACCACCATCTGCAGCAGCGGTATTGGCAGCAGGGGGTGGGGAGGTAGTGAGCGGCTGGACGTGAAGCCGGCGGTGGCAGCACAGAGTCACCACGACCACTCTGCCCAGCTCCATAGGGTGCCCAGCGGTCACCCTGATTCATGCCCCCAGGGACAGCCCTGGTCACAGAACAGCGAAAGATTAAGATTTTCTTTGGCATGACCATGGAAAGGCACTCTCTTTACGTGGAGATAAGAACTTCATGAGTATCTGTTTACTAAGAACACTTAAAAATATGAAGGTGACTTTAGCATGACTAAATGGTGCCAGCTGAGATTACTGGAGAGGAAAGCCTACTGTTTATTCAAAGAACTAGTGCAGGGCAGGCAGCCCAACAGCTGACTTTCCTACACTTCTTGTCAACATGCCTCAAACATGAGTTGTAGAGCTCATGTTTTAAGAACGAAGAGACAGCTTATCTATTTCTAAGCTCCTCCACTAACACACTCAGCATGGTGTCAGCTCGTACTTATTGTGAGAGTGCTCTGCGTCACATGGACAACTATGCAGTCCTCTACAGTGTGGTTCCTGCAATGAACTGTGCACAGGCACGTTCCCACATATAGTCTGTTCAAGGATTGGGATCTAAGTTCAATACTATATTCATCACCACAGTACCTAAGAAACTCTTTCCTAGCAATGAACTGAAGCTCACTCATCTATTCACTTTCAACATAGGCCATTTAACAGTCACACGACTCTATGGGATACAAGTTATTATTGGCACAGGCTGTCTGAACTGCTGACCTACCTATGAAAGGCTCAGAAGGCTATATGGTTCTGAAAGTTGGTAATGGAATCTGTAGCTTAATTGGGAGATATCAGCCGTTTAAAAGCAAACTATCAGATGATTTAGCATATAACATACAAGAAATAATACCAAAAGGTTAAACAGTAACATTTTTATTTGGGAGTTGTCAGACTCCTTTGGACATGATTCCCAACTGTACACTCAGCAACTCCAAGGAATCAATTTTCAACCCAGCTGCATAAACTTATGGGGGAGTTAGAATAGCTGCTCACGGATAGTCAGTGCTTGACGATGCCCAGTTAGGGTTTTATCATTGCTGCGAGTACAAGTGCTTACTAAGAGCAAGAAAAATACTTATATGGCATTTCATGCCTACAGCACAAAATTAGAGCTTTATGAAGTTATTGCCATCATTGCTGAGGTTACCAAAATTACTGCTGAATGGATTTTGGGGGATGTCTTCCTTTTTATTGCTAGTTTTATAGTTAAGAGGGCAAGTTTAGCAGCATTTCTTAAGCCCCCCAGACCCATCCTTCCATAAGTCTCATTGCAACAGAATGCTTCTAATTCCAGTGAATATACACTGTGGGGGAAAAAAAACTTTGCAAATCAATCTTTCCATATAAGCACTGTCAGTGTGCATAAGTTTGCTGTACCCCACATAGTGCATCATGTAGCACTCACTGCATGGTCAAGGTTGCCTCTATATTCACACAACAGGGGAGTGACCTCTTAGAAGAAGCCTTTCTATGCAAGCTGGTTCCAGCCCATTAAAGATGTTGATTACATTAGGCCATAGAAAAGGAAGCAATCTGGTTTTCTGCCATTCACTGCTATTTAAACCATTGGACCATGACATTAATAATGGCCACCTACCACAGCAACTTCAGATTTATTTTTCTTCCTAATTTTGCAGCCTTGTACACTGTTTCTGGCAGTTAAATTATTGTCACCATGAGCACAGAACACGTTCCTTGAATACAACAACTGTTTCCTTTGTATGCCCATAGTTCAAAGGAAAAAGGATCCTATGCTCTACATCGTCTTTATACAATCCTTCCTGGGCAGGTCCATGCGCTTTCAGGTTTATTTTAACCCTAGGCACTGGTAAGTTCTGAGTTTGCACCACACTAACCCCTATAACAATGTGTAATTTAAGAAAAGCTAAACTGCCTGTATCAAGGGGCTCATAAGCTTTTGAGTAAGGAATATGCTATAGAGACACTTTGTCTTGAGCAAAGGTTTGACTACTGGCTACATAGCTTTCTACCATAAGGTGACCTCATTGAATCTTGGACTGCTTGAAAGTGAATGAAAATCCTTAACAACTAATATCAACTGGCAACCTACACCACAGTGTGCTGGTGTTTACCGTACGTAATCCACAAAGTGTTGGAATCCCCCCCAAAAAACGCTTTCTCAGTCCATACCATTTCTTACTTCAGTCAGGTAAACTACCAACTGTGTCAGTGTGAAATTAAGTCCTTAATAAACAAATACACAGTGATGATTACCCTCTCTCTTTTTAGAGGCAATCCTTTCAGAAGAGGAGCCAGGCATAAGGGCAGATGAAAATTCTCTGGACCCGTTCTGTAGACAGAAGACTCCAGCAGCTACAGCTGTCAAAATAGGTCCCTTTACAAGTCCTATTTTTATCTATGTTTTATTTATAACTCCCTTACGGCAAAGTTGGGTCACTGTGTGGAAAGGAAAATAAGATTTAAGACCAAACCAAAGATCAGACCCCAACTTTCTCCTGGAGCTTGGTCCTTGGGTCTACTTTTCGGTTTGCAGATAATGAAGACTTTGCTGTGGGTAAAAGGATGCAACTTATTCCCAATCAAATCTTTTGTGGTTATGTAGAAAATAACAAAAAAAATCCTAGTAGGAAATTTGGAATTGGCAGCTAAAGGAAACATGTCTGCTGTAAATCTTACATAAAAATCTCTCTTCTCTGTTCACATGGGCTGGGATTTATCTGCCTGATAACAGCAATTACTCCAGAGTACATGTGGAGCTGCAAAATGATATCTACAAAGATTCTAGTCTCTATGTATATAGCACACGCATGGGAGATCGGATTATTTTATAACAGCAATACCTGCTGTAACTGAAGTAGTGCTCCTCATACTCTGCAGGCCAGCATAGAAGGGAATATAAAAAGAGGACAGCTGCAACAGCCTTTCAGTGCCTTTATCAACAGGGACAGCTATAGGTATTGTAAAGATCAGGATGGAGAGCAATCTATGGGATCTATGTGAACAATACGTCTTGAAAAAAATCACGTTACTGTTCCTTATAAAACAAATGTCCACATGGATTCCACTCTAGGTGCCTAATAAGAAGTTCCCTCAGTAGGAGACAACTCACTTGAAGAGCAAATGCAGAAGAGCTCTACCAGATCCGGTGCTTGATCTGGAACCTGTTCTAAGCGACAGTGGGAGAAGAATCTGTGAATGGAGGTTCAGGTAGCCGCTCTGAGTACTGGAACATCAGCTCATATTTGGAAGTTTCTCTCTGAAGCTATCACAACCAGAAACCCATTCCTTTTTAATGAAAGCTTGGACTCTGCATTTCAAGTGCAGTGTGCTGGCCACATAAATACATTATGTCAGTGAAATCTGGCCTGCAGCCTATCTGTTTGACAGATTTATACTGTACTTCAGCACAACCGGACCCTCTTCCTCCTCCACTGCATTCTAACCTTGTAAAAGTACTAAAATAGAAATAAATAATAATTCTATCAACAGAAGGCTACCTCTGCATCAGTCCTGGTGCTGCCGGAGGAGTCATTCCAAATTCTGGGTATCTCTGTTGGAAGAATTAAGTACATTAATAAAAATAAAGTAGTACAAGAAGTTCTGGGAAGTGCATCTCCAACCGTACAATGCCTGTTTATGTTTTTGATGTCTGTTCATGACCCTTAGGTTACTTATCAGCCTTTTGAAAATATGTTCTCTGACTTGCAAGCTCAAGGGCCCCTCTAATGACTTAAAAGCTGAGGTTTTACTTTACCTATTGATGGTGGAGAGAAGCAATGGCGTACAGGTAGTGCTAAACCTTAACCTCTTTAACTTTGTTCAACCTAGTGTACTTGTTTAATTTACCCCCAACCTTGAAGAAAGTCTAATGTCTGGACTACAGGATTTGGTGTTCAGACTTCAGGGCTTTGCATCCCAGTTTTCCCACTGAACCTGGGGACTGTAGGCAACTAACTTAATATTTATGGATTAGATCCAAAAACATGATTCAGGCCATTGCAATTTAGGCAGAACCTCAGACACTTAAGTCCAAGGGAGTGAGGCACAAAAACCCCACCTGACTGTTCGGGGGGCTAGGCTTTCGCCATGAAAGTTATCCTACAGACTCTTATAGTTCTCGATGCATTCTCAAACTTACATTTGGTATTCAAAAATCAAGTGCCCCTGCATCTAAGTTCCTGGAGCAACTTGATCCAGTAGGTGTGCTCTGTGACTATCAAACACATTGGCAGTACTGAGTCCAGCACAAAGTGCAGCTGCCACAGCCACTTTTATTCAAAGCCTGGCAGTGGGGAAAACCTAACTTGTATGCAATAACTTAGCACTTAGAGCAGTTACCCAGGAAGTGGGAGAGCTGGATTACAGGACCCCTCACAGCCTGTAAGGGGAAAACTCACATCTCCCACATCCTTGCCATCAGTCAATAGGATAAGCTGGGATCGGGACACTCAACTCTCGTATGGCAAAGTTATGCCACTGTGTGGGAAGGAAAACAAGATTCATAAGACCAACAAGTAGGAGGATGAATGTATCCAATAATGAGGATCATCCCCTGGAAAAGGGAGTAAGGGATTATAGTCTTATTTCTGAGGTAACTGCTTTACCCACTGGAATATTAAAAAGAAAAGAAAGAGCCAATACCCAATACTTGAAGGAATAACATAGGTGCCCAAGTTCAAGCAGCTGGTTCAGGATGTGAATCCTATACTCATGTAAGCACCTAACTGAAGCTGCCATTAGGTGAATTAAGGCTAGGGAAGACGGGGGATTTCAGAGAGTCACTAGTCAACACTTTTTATGGTACAGCTTGAGATCCCAAAATGCCATAACATATGCTGAAGGAGGAAGAACCCTTCCATGCCAAAGCCAGACCTACTAGTCAGAGCACTCTCAGCTCCAACATCAGGTATGGGGCCCTAGGGTCCACCCTCCTTACAAGTAGCAAGGACCACCCTTACCTACCTGTGATCTAAATACACATCTGGGACTCCTAACACCCCCAAGCAGAAAGGCAGCTACAAATCTTGTCCATTCCCAAACCCTAAAACTAACCCTAACTGTTGCTTGGACCACTAGAGCAGCCTCAACCTTAAACCCAGGCAGGAGACCCCCAAGCAGCCTGATCACAGGAAAGTCCATGCTATCAGCTTGGAGTGCCCCCAAACCCTATCCCTCAGCCTAGCATAGGTAGGTAAGGCAGTTCATGATAGTAGTAAGTGGAACGGATCCCGAGACCTCTCACCAAGGGTTAAGGTTAGGAGGGCTCCCAGCGGAGGGGTCCAGCTCAGGGATGGGAGGGTTCCTCTTACTCCAGCATACACTGTGGCAGCTAGGGATCCCTATGCTGAGCTTAGCATCGGGGTTTGAGGCCTCTCTAAACTACTTCCTGTGGTTAGGCTGCATGTGGCCTTCTGCTTGGGGCTAGGGTTGAGGCTGCTGGAACATTCTGACCTTGGGTAGAGTTAATGTTAGAGATCAAGGTTTGGAGCCATATTTCTGACTGGGAGTGTAGGACCCTCAGAGCTGTGGCACTGGTAAGCAGTAGAGATGTGTGAAGCAGGCAGTATTTGATTCAGATTCGGCCCGATTCAGGGGATGGGGATTCGATTTGCTGATTCAGATCACTGTGCCGATTCGATTCAGCTGAATCTGAAGATTCGATTCCGATTCAGAGAACCAACAATTTGGCCATAGACACAGCTTTAGATGTTTTTTCTATGTACCTTGAGGTACCAGGCACACTGTGATGCTGAGGTACCACCGTGAATACTGTGATGCTGGGGTGGATGGAGCATCTCACGGGAGCGCAGGAGGGATCCCCCACACGCTCAGCGGTGGACTTGGAAGTGGACTGGAAATACTTCAGCAAAATCGGCCGTGGGGGGACCCCAGGTGCCCCCCCAGACCCAGAAGGCACTAGTGACCGAGCCAGGGGGTGGGCGGGTCCCCTGCGCACTCCGTGGCAGACCCAGAAGTGGACCGGATGTACTTCTGGTCCACTGCCAGGTTCACTGCCAAGCATGTGGGGGACAACCCTTGTGCTCCCGTGGGATGGTCCGTCTGCCCCACCATCTCAGTGTTCACAAGCCCCACCTGGTACCTCAAAATACGTAGAAAAAACTTGTAAAGCTGTGTCTATGGCCCAATTGTCAAATCTCTCCAAATCGAATTGGAGGCTTCCGATTTGATCTGGAGAGATTAATGGGTCTCCTGATTTGATTCAGATTAGGAGATCTGGCAGCCGAATCGGGCCGAATTTCCTCTGAATTGAATCAGCGACTGAAGCTTCACATAGCCCTAGTAAGTAGGGCTCCCTACCAGGGCACCTATGGTTCATGTGCTAGGTTCAGAGAGTCCCATTCTCAGGTGCCTGACTCTCCCTTTTTACTGTCTAAGGAACATTGGCACCTAATATGGGTTTCTAAATTCTAGTCCCTATGCTAGGTCTCTAAATTCCTTTGTAGATCTGGACTTTTGTGTCTCAACGTAGCTTCTGTAAAAGGCATTAAAGACAATACTCTTCTATCTCAGGGGAATGATGAGTTAAAGCTGTCTAAGCATACTGATGTCCTGGTTCGAAAAATGCCCAAAATGGACTATCTTGTCTCTTGGTGGCTTTGTGTACTCAGCTGAAACAGCCTTTAGAAAATAAACTGTCATTGTTAAAATACTTTGAGCTGTGAAATATTACATCTGAGTGGAACAGAAATAGTTCTCCTAAAAGAGAACTCCTATACAATGTTCACATGGAAAAATAAATCAAAAGTTTAATAAGCAAGTTCTCCAATTTGCTCAGGTCTGTCTCTGAACACCTCTGGCTCCAGTTATTGCATGAGCCAAAAGGTACAACAATAGCGACTATGGCTCAACTGGTTCCAATTTCCTGGCCAGAAAAGCCTTTCCAAATACATCACTCACATTAAATGGGTTGTTTGCTGTCTGAGGTGGACCATATGATGAGCCCCATTGGGTGCATGAAGTTCCCTTCCCTGCTCGAGCAGGAACGTTGTTTACTGGCTGTCCAGCAGAGACCCCAGGTGGTGTGACGGCAGTGGAAGTGGCTGCTTGGCTGCTAGGAGCCACCAGGGCAAAAGCATCATCCAAAAGAGAGTGCATTGTTTGCCGGGCTTCTTCAATAGATGGCTGTGGAGGGATGTATTGGGATGCTGAGTGGGGAAGCAAACCTGGGTACTTCCCAAGATCAACAGATGATGTCTGTGGTTCTGCTGGCAGGTCAGGGTCCGACTATGAAGAACAGAAGAAACATAAGCAGAAGGCAGACAGCTTTTCTTAAAAGAATCTCAAATCACTGTTAAATTTTGAAAAATTATTATTAATGTGTCTATCAAAACCAAAAGGAGATTGGAAAGCATCTGTACAACAAAAGTCAAACACGACTTGCCCAATTCTTCTGCAAGAGAAAGATTCTAAATACTACAAAAATAATTCAAATGCTTCAGACACTTGAACCTATATTGTCATATTAGGTGAGGTATTTTTCACAAGACAGTGACCAAGTTCGACTAGATTACAATATGCTGGTTTGTGAATAGGTGGGGGCCCGTACTCGTATAGTGAACTCTGACTCACTATAGGAGGTAACACTCTCTAAAACAACTTTCCTCTCAATCTTTGAACTGGTAAGGAGTGAATTAAGCATTCATGTCACAACCAAGTGCATTAGCAGAAATGCTAAACCAATTACTGCTTCTCCCCAGCAACACATGAAAGGGGTTATTAAACAGCAAAGCCATCAGCTATATGGAACCTGAGCTCAGGTACATCACCTTAAAGAGATGCACAACAGTGCTTAGTGGCACCAATTACTTGACATCATCTTGACACATCCATCACAATTACTACCTGTGATCTTTTCCTTAGGAACTCACCACTCCGACACAGGAAGTTAAACTGCCTTTGTAGCAGCTGCCTTACTGTAGAAGCTCATTTTTGCCAACGCATGCAGGCTGCAGAATCAACTGTCAAACCGCACAGTCTACTTCATTGGGAACTTAGTATTCTGAATAGAAACTCTCAGCAGATGCCAAAAGGGCTGGGCTTGCTGTGTGACAAGTCTTAATTAAATATCTCTGGACTATAATTCATTCCGTTACACCATGACATGAAAATGATTATGCTCTTGTTTGAATGCACACAAATGTCACAGAAATCTACATTTTAGCCACTTGAATACATATAAACCTAGAAGTGAACTTTTTTTTTTAAAACTTCCTTTTTTAAAAAAATGGAAGCGGTTTGAAGCTGTCCAGTGGTTTCCAGCGCTAGCAATGATCCCAGGAAAAACCGATTAATGATCAGAGCGCAGGTGCAGCAGTTGAGATGCACAATAAAAGCAGCTTTATCACATAGATATCAAAACTAAACAATTCTGAAGTGCTTGTTTTCAAATGTGGAGAATAAGGCTAATTTGCAAGGTACTGTGCTAAAATAACTTTGGTTATTTCTCCATTACTATCATACTGGGAAAGATAAAAAAGGCTTTCAAAATACAATCATAGAGAAAGTCAAGTTAACGCTTGCAAAACATAGAATATCTGATCGGGTTTCCTCTGTTTTATGTAAACACTCCTCAGGAAGGCTCCAAGCTTATTTAATTTCAAACTAATGGAATTAGTAAGGAATGGAATTACCGTAGTTACTCAAATCTAACATGAGCATTCCCCCCTCTCTCCCCTACATTCAGCATAGGGGAAAATCCTTGCCTTAGATTTGAGTATGGAGCAGGCAAGCAAGTGCTGCAGCTTTGGATAGGGCCAGGGTGGCTCATGAGGCAGGTGTGTGGGGTGGGGTGTGTGGGGAGCAGAGGAGAGAGCATGGGGAGAGGGGGCACATGGTGCTGGGGGAAACATGAGGGAAAGGGCATGTGGACCGCAGGGAAAGGGACACATGGAGCAAGGGGAGAGCATGAAAGGGGTGTGGAAAAAAGGGGCATGCAGTGCAGGAGGGGTGCTGAGAGAAGAAGGGCACTCAATACTGTGGGGAACATGAGAAGGGAGTGCATGGTGTAGGGAGATGCACAGGGAAAAAATGGTGGCAGAGGGAGCACGGGGAAGGGATATGTGCAACAAAAGGAGTGCAGGGAAAGGGCACGAGGGGGCAAGTACAGAACGAGGTAGCGTAGGGAATGGGGGGTGAGGAAGGGGCACAAGGAGTGGCAGGGGTAGCTACTGTGGCACCAGTCCCAACCGTGACCTGGGCTGGAACCATCACTACTGCATGGCTTGGATAACCTTGGAGACCAGCTGCAACAGACAAGTGGGATGAGGGGTGGAAAGGGGAGGGGAGGGGAGGGGAAGGGAGAGTGTAGGCAAGTCGAGGGGAGAAGGCATTGAGCAGGGGGGCAGGGACCAGGCACCGGGAAGAGGGGGGGAGTGGCAAGGACAGAATAATTTTCTCTATCTAGAGTTTAATAATTAAGGGGTGATCTTAAATTCAAAGTCATCTTGGACCTGGGCAAATACAGCATGAAGATTCAGAACGTAGCCGTTATGGATTAATTGTAACACGATAATCAGAGTAATCCTATCATCTATGAGACATACATACAATATATGCAGAATTATTAACTCCTGGAGGCCTTTTGTATGTCCCATCACTGTCAGTTGTGATTAATCTGTCCTTATCAGCATCGATAGGACTACCATTTATCTGATGCCTCCGACGTTGCTTGGGAGAACGTTTTGCCCGTGAACTAGAAGAGAAAGAGAAAAGAAAGATCACCACCTTTTGTTTTATTGGATTGTTTTTAAGTTGGGATGAAGAAAAACTTTTGAAAAAATTGTTTAAAGAATTTTGTATTGCCTGACCCCAACAAAGTCAGGGTTCTTTAGCAGCCACAAATGCAGGTTTCCTGGTCCCTCCTTTTGGCTCATAGGAGAGACAGGAACGAGAAACAATGAGCAAGAAAAATACCATATTTAAGGTACCTCGGGTTTTGGTTTTAAAGTTTTAAGTTAGGTGCAGTAAACAAAGTCAGTCTTGGATCCTGGTATAGAATTAAAACCCAGATTTCCAACTGAGGCATTTATGCAGTAAATCCCTGTGATGCGACATCATTGACAAATGGCTAACTAAAATAGAGCAATTTCATTTTAAACCACTAGTTTCAATTCTCCCCCATGAACATTTCTAATCATATCAGCATTTCCACATAACCTTTATAACATTTCTCTCCTTTTCCAATTTTTTCAGTTAAAGTATTCAAAGATTAGGGACTGATATGTTCGTCTGGAAATAGTATGAGTTTTACAATGCGTTATAGAATACCACGTGCTCTCAGGTGCCTCATGTACCCTTCAGGCATGACACTCCTGCTGCATTCTCAGGATATACAGGCAGGGGACATCTTTTGTGAGGTACACTGTTGCATTCAAATCAATTTTAATTCTAAACCTGAAGCAAACAAGGACTCTGGAGTGTCTTGTGGTGGAGGTTAACATAAAAACTTAAACATTTCATAAAGGAACCACACAAAGACAAAAGCATATACTTGAAAGCTAACATTTTATCCTTTTATGGCAAAGCTTCTACATACTTCTGAGAATGACAAAACATGTCATTACCACTTACAACCTGTGTCGGGTAAGTGAGCATGAAGGTAAGTGAGCCATTTTACTCTGTAAGGTAATTGCTCTTGTTTTTCCATTATTATTTTTGTAATTTCATTCAGTCATATTAGACAGTGTAGATCCACACTGTATATATTTATTTTCTTTCATAACTAAAACAATATGAAATTAAAGTCAACTTTTTTTTTTTTAAATGAAACTGGAGAGAGATGGCTAGGTACCTGGTTTTCTTACAGCAAAAGAGAATTTTGAGTGTTCAATTTGAGAAAGGCAGAACTAATTTTTCTGAGTACCTGAATGTACACTAAGTCTTTAAAATACAAATGCCATTGACTTCAATAGCAGCTATCAAAATTCAGCACTTCTGCTAATCTGACCTCAGCAACTCAGGTCAGACTTTCAGAACATAGGAAGAGTTGGGTTTATGGACATGGTATCGCTAGTGGGGAAAGACTCTCCTAGCCATTCTTCTCCAAACTTGTCCTCCTCTGCCCTGCCCCTTCCAAGCTGTCCCTGTCTCAATCCCATCTATGCCACACTGATTTTCGTGTGGGCCCCATTTTCCTCCCCTAACTAGTCCCAGCCTCTGCTTCCAGTCTCCTTGCCAAGCACATACCAGTTTCAACCCCACAAACTTTTTCCAGACTTATTCTCCCTGCTACTCCCCACCCACCAGACCCACCTTCTCTTTGTCTGGTTTCTTTTATTTCCTCCTCCAAGACTCCAGTCTCCCACAGTCCCCACCACTCCTTCTAATGGCTCCCTGTCCCATACCAGAAGCACTTGGGATAGCAACACTATGAAACTGGGTTTTAAACTGACATATATAAATCAGTTAAAGTAAAGAGGCTACTGGGGAAAATATCGGGTGTATTTTAAACTTGGAAAAATGGTCCTGACAAGACTTATTTGGGACCTGGAACTAAAAGGGTAAGAACTGCCTGGAAATTAGGTTCTAATGTCCATCAAACCTACAGAAGACAGAGGCCCCTCTCCTGAATTATGAAGCCAGGAGTCATAATAAGTATGTACTTGGTTACTCAGAAAGCATACAGAAAGAAGTATTTTGTCTAATTTATAAATCAGTCCTTAAACATCTGAGCTGGATACATTTTATAATCATCTGTTCATGGTTTCCTGATTACCATACTCTCTCACATACAAACACACTACAGATTATATTATACACTCTGTTTTTCAAAGACAGAACAAAGAAAAGAAGATCTTTCCTCGTAAGCAACTCAGCAGCAGTATCTAGGAAGCCTGCTCAATGTTCTGCTCCTTGTGGATCCCTGCTGATTTTAATTTCACATTGGCCCAGTAAGCAAGAAAACCTGATCTTACCATATTTCTCACATACAATGAGACTTCATTCTCCAGCATCTATCTTTTGGGGGAAAGGTGCATGTTCTATGCAATACAATATGGTATATGTTTCTCTGAGTTTTGTTATGACAGCTACATTTCTTACTGGGTTCCCCTACACACTTCCTCCCCGCTTCCCCCACCCCATTTTTTTCCTTGTTTCCTAGACTCTGTCAGTGCTCAGAAGTAAACTCAATTTTTTTTCCACCTACAGCAGTATGAACAATGACAACTGCCTTAAAATGGCTTTATGATGTTTGGATTCTGCTACTGAAAAACTGCTCATAAACATTTTTTTTCCTGAACATTTGCACAATCCCCTGGCACACAACAATTACACCAAAATATCCAAAACAACCCCAGCTTTCTCTAACCCAAATGTTCCTGGGAACAAAATAATTGCAAGCCCTCAAGATGGAGAAGCATAGATCTGACATAGTTTGCAAGTCTGACTCTGATTCTTAAAGAGAATGATTCCTTCCCTGGCTCTGAATCAGTACCTCTTCCTGGGTTCTATAAACACAGTAGGCACGTTGCCCCCAGGATCCAAGATCTTGTCAATCTGCATCTGCGCCTTGCGGTAAATTCGATGCTGCTCTTTGGAATCAACAACAACCACATCATCCACAACTGGGAATTCATAATGCCCTTTGCGTTTGGCTCGAAGACGAATCTTATTGCGGTGATGCTCAATCTCAGACTTATGCCTCAGAGCTGTCTGTATCTTAAAGGAGGAAAGAAGGGGAGAAAAAGAGTTAAGATTTTTGCAAAAACAGCTTTTACTGCTATGCCATAAAATAAGAGTCACAGCTAAAAGCAATCAATTGAAAGCTGTGGAGAGTGATTCTTTTCTCCTACCTGTAGCATTCCCACCCACTCCCTTGGTCGACATACTATTACATACTTTAGTATCACTACCACAGCGGTGCTACTTAGAGAGAAGTTGCAGTGTGCTAATAAAAAGCCAAGCAAACAACAAAAAGCCCTGCCAGCTGCCATAAGGAACACCGCCTGAAGAAAATTAGGTTGTAACTGATAGCGTATGTAGCATGTCTCCCCATATCCATCACAAAATGCATTTGATTACTATGGTCAAAGTTTGTCACCGACTCCCCTTAAGAGAATTCCTAGGACACAGAGCATAAACTGAAGGATCTGCCTGGATAAGAGTGTTGGAAAAGGGAAGGAGAAACAGGATTGTTTCAGGGTATGGCAAAAAGTCTTCTTTAAAAATAGACCATTGCCTTAGGACCACACCCACTTAAGTCAATGCAACTCTTCCCACTAACTACAGTGGGCACTGGTTAAAGCCTGTTCTTGAGTACGTTTTAGCTTGTTCTCAGGTACATATGAAGCTATAAATAAAACTCCAGAAAAAACCCTACATTTTAATAATTTCTTAGATTATTAAAGACGGACATCAAGAACAAGACTTTTACCACATAATTAAACTTATATTTCTTGCAAATCCTAGACATATTAATTCACTTGCTAGAATTTTTTACAAGGTGCTAAACACAGAGGTTCAATCAATCTTTTAACCTTGAAGTGTGAGGTAGGCTGTTGCCTTCCATGAAATACAAAATGAGTGACCAAAGAGGGGAGACGGGAGAAGCCTGCATAAGGAGAACCAGATGACCCAGGCACCTTGGTGTCACCCATTAATTTACAGACATGCTACAAATTGCATGTTAGCTACCAGTAACTGCACAGCAACTTAGGGCTGCAGAGCATAAGTCTGGACAGATCACAAGTCTAGCTGGAAGATGTACTTAAACTACCAAATAATCAAAAATCAAGGCTTATATTTGGAATTAATAAAAAAAGTAATTCATGATTATGCACTCATGAAAGGAAAGCCACCCATCAGGATGAGGAGTTTGATTTTTAAGACAGAAGAGAGAAATCTGAACTTTCTTGGCTCTATTGCCTATTTCTATATGTACAGACACCATGGCCAGTAGGGCTGTGCAAAACTTTGGTCGCCGATTCAATTTGGCGGAGAATCTCCGAATTTGAATCGAATCAGGAGACCCTTTAATCTCTCCAAATTGAATTGGAACCCTCCGAATTGATTCAGAGAGATTTAATGATTCAGATATACATACACACAGCTTTATATGTTTTTTCTACATACCTCAAGGTACCAGGTGGCCCATGAATGCTGAGATGCTGGGGTGGATGGAGTGTCCCACAGGAGCACGGTCCACTTCCGGATCTGCTGCAGACCGCATGGGGGACCCCCACCCCCTGGCTCAGTGACTGGTGCCTCCTTGGTCTGGAGGGTCACTCCAAGTCCCCCCACAACCGATCACTGAGCCAGTGGTATGCAGGGAGAAGGTCCCCCCCCCTCGCTCAGTGGCGGACCCAGAAGTACTTCTGGTCCAGTTCCAGGTTTGCCGCTGAGCACGCAGGGGTCTCCCCATGCTCCTGTGGGATGCTCTATCTGCCCCACCATCTCAGCATTCACAAGCCACACCTGGTACCTTGAGGTACATAGAAAAAACATTTAAAGCTGTGTCTATGGCTGAATCGCCGATTCACTGATTCAGCATTGAACCTTCAGATTCAGATTCGGCCAAATCCAATTGGGACAGTGATTCAGATCAACAAATCGAATCACTGTCCCCTGATTTGGGCCGAATCCAAACTGAATACAGCCCGTTTCACACACCCCTAATGACCAGCGCACGTGCACACACACACACACACACACACAGACACGCTTTAAAAATACCTCTTTATTAATTTTGTTGGTCTCTGCTACTCGGTCAGAAAGTGCCGAGTTCTGAATGGGAGGTGCTGCCATTGGCTGCATAGCAATCAACTGGATCTTGCTGGGAACCCGCCTGCTGACCTCTGAGGAGCGTGACATCCTGTCCACATGGTCAAAGATAGAGGCGGAGGAGTGCTGCTCATTTCCACTATTGGTCTGAGGAGGTCCTGAATTTCCAGAACAAGTAAAAGTTAAACACAGTGGTTAGGACCGTCTCTATCATACAGGTTAATGAAAAATACAATGCTGGGAGATGGTTCCATTGTTTGCAGCTGTATTTAAATTTGGACAAGAAGTCTTCCATCCACTACAAACAGAGTTACACAAGAGTTTGCAAATGATAAACATGTTTTTCTTACTTTTTCAGCGGGTGAGCTCTCTGTCTTTATTTCTGCAAGTCAAGTCTTTGATACTTTGCAATGTCCCCTCAAAAAAATATCCCAGAATCCCAAGCCTATTTTATCCTATCAAAAGTTATTCTAGTATATGCTGCAAATTGCCATTGATTACAGTACTTAAGACGACACGCCTTCTGCAAATGGAATATCAAAAGGCAATAAAAAAAGACACTGAAGTGTAAAAATGCAGCATTTTAAAAGTGAAGAGATGGGGTAATTTCTCAGTTCAACAAAAAGATTTAGAAATCTGCCCAAAGCGTACAGTTTTACATTCAATTTGTAGATTTAAGCTTTTAAAGGTCTAAGTTCTTCTTACTGATATGATAAACAGTCTATTATTAAGGTATTAAATTGTACAAATATTGTTCAGCTGTAATTGGCTGAGAAAGTGATAGATACCCAAACGTATTTAGGAATGTCATGCTATGGAACCAACGCATCTTAAAAGTTATGGCCCTCATCTAGCATAGCACTTAAACACGTGTGTAACTTGAACTGCAATAAGGTACTTCTCACAATGCACATCAACAGGATTACTCATCTGATTGAAGTTAAGCACATGTCTAAGAGCTTTGCTGGATCAAGGTCTATGCTAGTAACACTGACGTGAGCTAAAGAAGAATATCTAACTAAGGAGTCCAAAGTAATCGCTTGACCTAATGGGGTGTTTGATAACACATTTCTTTAAATATTTGGGCCTAGAAGGTTAAGCAAAATTAAGGGCTAAATTGTGTCTGCCTTCTATGGACCTACAAAGTAGAAGGGGTCATAAATAGCTGAATGTTGTAAGGCCTGACACTTGTACCACAAGTCCAAGCTTCAGGATGCAAAGAGCAGGAGCTAAATATCTTATTTTCTTTGGACAGCCAATGATAGCAAGGGGCAACCATGGCCCTGTCCCATGACCTCATCCCTTGGGCTGGTAAAAGTGCTGGCTGGACACAAGGAGTGGGGTGCAGAATGGGGATGAAGTATGCTGAGCCCTTTAAAGAGCAAAAGTAGAAATTGTGCCTCCACATGTTGTTAGTGAGGTACCACACCTCGTGGGGTGGTACCCTTTACACCCAACTTCACAGGTTCCTGTCTATGGACAGTCAATAGCACACAAAAAAGGGATGTGGCTGACACAAATCAGCCCTAAGCAAGCCAACCCTCATTTACTACTTCTTTTTCAAGCTTGACAGATCAATGTACATGTCTAAGATCAAATGCCATCTTCTAAATTTAACTTTCTTAAGAGTTTCCTTAAAGTAAGGAATAAACCATGACAAGGTGAGCAGCTCTACTGGATCGCTACATAGTACTGCACAGGTGATGAAACAATGAAGCATACTTGGTGATGCACAGGTCTAATCTTCAAGTACTTTTAGCTGTTCAATTTCTGAGTCTGTCTACCTACAAACCTAGATACTTATGTAGCATTCATCATTGCAGTACCTCAGATCCCTCCAATCCTTAACAGGCTTTATCTTCAAAACACTTCTATGAAGTAGTAAGGTACTGATCCCCATATACAAATGAAGCACAGGATAGATTAAGTAACCTGGCCAAAAATCAGAAAGCATCTGGGGCTCATTGTGAACCTGAACCCGAGTCTCCCGAGTCCTAGTTCATTACTCAGTTTCTTTTCTATCCTACTAGATTAACTTCAGTTGTCCAAACTTCGTAACATAGTCATAAAACATGTCAAGGTTTATGTTATGTTACACTTTTATGTTAATTGGTTAATGAATTCAAAAAGGGGCAATTACACTGAACATCTACTCAGTCAGCATCTTTTATCCTTTTTACCCATAACTCTCTGTTAATAGTGCCAGCTCTAAAAACAAAAGCTAGGAGGACAGCCACCAACTTGAAACTACTTTTAATTTGTTGTGTTAAATTGTCCCCCAACTCTTTTGCTCCTACCATCCTTTTCCTGGGTTCGAGGTTCTAAAATAGAATTAAGAAAATGTTTTTCTTCCCCCTATTGTTGTACAATAACCCCTCAGACTTCCACAGACCTGTTCCACAGACTAGCACAAAAACAAAGGAAGGAGGTCACCAAAGCCACATTCCTGCTATAAATTTAACATGAAAAGGCCATTGTAACTAGATGGAAACTGCAACAAAGTCAATGAAGACTTGCATGGATACAGGAGGGCTACTATTTCAGGAACAGCTTTCCTGTATTCATGCAGGGGGTTGGTCCAGATGACCCTTCCAACATTATGACTCCATGTGGAAGAATTTTCAGAATTGGGTTCTTAACTGATTGATTATATAAAAGGGAGAAAAACAGACTATACAGAAAAGTGTTGTCAAAGCACTTAACATAAAATAACAGCAAAAAATTAGTTCTCTAATTTTGTTTAGCTACAATAGCCTTAAGTTACTTTTAACAACAATTTATAAAATAGCATCATTTAAAGCTGTTTGCATCCTTTTGAACACAAAAATTGGCAAAATGTAACCCCGGCTATAAATACTAAAAGGAAAACTCTCCAGAAGTCAGTCTCTTAATTAAATGAACGCAATTATCATTTCAGTGAATAAATTAGACCTGTAATGGGCTAACCTATGGTTAACACTAAATCATATTTTACTTCCATTTCTTCTTGTTGAACAGGAAAATCTAAATAAGTTTAATGATTAAAATGAAATAGAAAATCTCTGAAGGGCAGCTACTTGAATTCCAAATAATTTTAATCATTATTTTAATTATTTGTAGCTTTTGTTTCATCTCCCTCAAATAAAATACACTGGTTAGTTTATTTTTGGTCAATTTTACTTTCCGATCTTCATGAATTAACCCAATACTGCACTGACTGGGTTCCCTGCACAGCAGGGAACTAATTTGTTTAAAAAACAGTTAAAAAAAAAAAAATGCATGGAAGACTTTTCACAGGTTTTAAGAAATTTGCAAAAGCTTGTGCTTACAGAACCTACAGTTTCATATAGATCCGACCTGATGTGATCCTGCAAAGCAAATCCAAGTGCAAGCTATTCCCTCTCCATGTCTGTGTCTACACAAGATGCTGACTGCGCAGCCGTTACTGTGCAGTCATTTAGTAGTTATATAAACAAGTAGTAAATGACTGCGCAGTAACCTGAGTGTCGACAAACGTCTTTTTCATAATACTACTGCACGGTGTCCAGACCAAATTTTAAGTGTATGCTGGCAACACAAGAGTTAAGTTTGATCATGCGCAGACAAGCAGACAAGGCCTGTGGAAAATTCCACAGCGTGCCCAGCACGTGCCCCCTATGCGACCCTTGGCTTGTCAATCAAAGCTGACCTAGTTTTGTGGGAATGCGCATGCTCAGTTCTGCTCAGCAGATGAAGTAATCTGACCAGACGCATGCTCAGTCTACAGACTGCATGATGTAATCGGACTATAAATTTCTTTAGAGAAGACCACCTGATCGGCTACCCAGTTGTCATAAAGACTTGGGGGGCCCCTCCAAAGGGGGTTAGTTAGCGAAGGGGAGTTAGCGAAAGAGAGAAGGAGAGAGAGTTTTTGGGGGGTTCTGACAGCGGTGCTGACAGGGAAGACTGGTCCTGAGAGCAGAGGCTGGCCTGACAGGGACTGCTCCTCAGGAGGGCTTTAAGCCCACTGGTCTCCTGTCTGAACCCTGAGAGCAGAGGCTGCTAATGCAGGGACTGCTCCTCAGGAGGGAGACCACGCTCGACCTGCGAACAGATACTGCCTTAGCAGAGACCGTCTCACAGGAAGAGATCAAACCGATCCTGAGAGCAGAGGCTGCTGCTGCAGGGACTGCTCCTCAGGAGGGCTTTGGGCCCACTGGTCTCCTCACAGCTATGATTTTGCGATTTATTCGAGTTGTCTTGATCTAATTATTCTGTATTGATCTCTGGCTAAAGAACTAATTTCCGGCTTCGACCTCGACCCCGCATCTCAACCACTGGCTACGACATCGTAACTTCGACCTCCACATCGACTTCGGCATCTTAACGACCACCCGTTTCATCCACATTGGACTGGCATCACGACATTCTACGTGTTACAGTTCTGTTATTTGTTATCCCAATCAATGAGCTGTTGACCAGCCCTGGGACTATCAAGTTGGGCAGCTGCCCCTAGCTCCGGCTAGAAATCAAGGGCTCACTCGAGAACCCCATGGGCCAACAGACCCCTTTGTTGTTCGTGTTTGTTTATTGCAGCTGTAACTGAAGCAAGTTCCCTGCCTACGCTCCAGCAGTGCAAGTAAATAAAATACATGTGTTTTGAAACCCCACCATGTCCCGCGCGGCTTGGACTCCTTGCCGCTACTCCCGCCTGTTTGATCCGATCTGAACCCTCGGCCCACCGTGACCTTGGGGCCGCTGTTCCCCGACACACGGTAGCATTGCATCATGCACCATGTGACACTACTGTGCAGTAGTATCGGGCTACTGCGTGGTCAGTGTCTCATGTAGACGCGGCCCATGATTCACCTAAATCCTACTGCAGTCAGCATGCACTTTTCAAATGATTAATGGGCTTTGGAGCAGATTTCATACCTGGCACTTACATGAGGGAAGGACAAATTCCAGACTGAAGGGAATTCAGCTTCCATGTAATGTTGCTGGTATGGGAACTTATATGTGGACCATATTTTGCAGCTCACAAGAACAGCAACATCAACATGCTCAAAAGTATGATAAAAAACCCCAACTCCCTTTTAAGAAGTCATTTCTCTAAAGGATGTGATACATGTAGCTATCTCAGAATGATTCACCTCTTCCTTATTTATTTAAAATAGAAATATTACAGCTTCCTGTGAAATTCTCTTCCTTTGTATGTGTATATGTATATGCTTACAATAGCAAGCTTAGAAGGTACAGGGAATGTAGTGATGTACATAAATACTGTAGCTGCAATGGAGCTGTACTAAACATACTGATGCGAAATAAAAATACAGACTTTTCCAGACCAAATATGTGAAATGAAATAGTTCTTTTAGAAGCCTTGACCATGTTATTGTAGCACTTCTCTAATTTAGCTCTTTCCTATACAGCCAGAATACTACACTGTATGAATAGCTTTCTCGACTGATCAAGAGCTGAAGCTGAAGAGAGCACAGGTTTTAAACTAGCGTCCCATACAAGTCATATGTCAGTATCAATTTACATCACGTGTCAGTATCAATTTACATCACAAGGGCATGGACTGAAATGTTGGGAAAAATATGTTCCCCGAGGAAACTGAGGTTTTAATGAAAACCTATAAAGTGTGAGGCAAGTGTCACAGGAACAAATCTTGATTTTTTTTTTTTTTTTTTTTAAATA